AGAGTCAAGGAATGCTGTGTTTTTGAACATGTTTTTCCTTACAAGAAAGGACAAGAATTAAGTTCATAGAAAAGAACTTATGATTGTACACAAAGTCAAGAGACTAATGACAATCAAACACAAGAGACTAGTAATGGTCTCGACCAACAAGATTTAACTGATGATGAACCAAGACGAAGTAAGAGAGCAAGAACATCAAAATCCTTTGGTCCAGATTTTCTGACATACTTGTTAGAAAATGAACCTCAAAGCTTTAAGGAAGCAATGACAGGTCCTGAAGCACCTTTGTGGAAAGAGGCTGTTAATAATGAAATTGAATTCATTATGCAAAATCATACTTGAAAATTGGTGGATCTTCCACCTGGTTTTAAGCCTCTTGGTTATAAGTGGATATTCAAGAGAAAAATGAAAGCAAATGGTTCAATAGACAAGTATAAAGCAAGACTTGTAGTAAAAGGTTACAGACAAAAGGAAGGTCTAGACTATTTTGACACATATTCCCCCGTGACAAGAATAATATCCATTCGCATGCTTATTGCTATAGCAGCATTGTTTAATTTAAAAATACATCAAATGGATGTTAAGACAGCTTTCTTAAACAGTGATCTAAATGAAGAGATCTATATGGAGCAACCTGAAGGGTTTGTAATGTCAAGGCAAGAAAAGAAAGTTTGTTGGCTTGTAAAGTCTCTTTATAGATTAAAACAAGCACGTAAGCAATGGCATAAAAAATTTGATCATGCAATGCTTACTAATAGGTTTAAGATAAATGAATGTGATAAGTGCGTCTATGTTAAAAACACTGACCAAGGATATGTCATAGTTTGTCTTTATGGGAATGACATGTTTACCATTAGAAGCAGTCAAAACATGATCAAATAAACTAAGCAAATCCTTAACAAAAGATTTGATATGAATGATATGGGGGTCGCAGATGTTATATTAGGAATGAAAATTACTAAAATATCTGGCGGATATGCATTATCTCAATCTCATTATATTGAGAAAATTCTAGATAAATTTATCAAGGATGATTTGAATGTAGCTAGAACACCTGTAGATATCAGTCTTTATTTATCGAAAAATAAAGGTGATGTAGTGTCTCAGTTAAAATACTCCCAAATCATTGAAAGCCTAATGTACCTAATGAATTGTACTCGTCTTGACATAGCTTATGCAGTCAGTAAATTAAGTAGGTACACTAGTAACTCTGGAGAAGACCATTGGAAAGCGATCATTCGGGTTCTTAGATATCTAAGATTTACTCATGATCATGATTTGAACTTTACTCGATATCCAGCAGTACTTGAAGGTTCTTGTGATGCCAATTGGATATCGGATACTAAAGATTCAAAATCCACTAGTGGATATGTCTTTACTTTGGGAGGCGCTCCTGTTTCTTGGAAGTCCGCGAAACAAACATACATCGCACGATCCACAATGGAATTCGAGTTCATTGGTTTAGACAAAGCAGGAGAAGAAGAATAATGGCTTCGTCGCTTCTTAGAAGACATTCCAAAGTGGCCAAAACCTATGCTAGCTGTTTGCATTTATTGTGATAGTCAATCTGCAATAGACAGGGTACAGAATCATATGTATAACGGTAAGTCACGACATATTCATCGTCGACATAATACCGTAAGGCAATTGTTGTCAAATAGAATAATCTCAATAGATTATATAAAATCTAAAGAGAATATTGTGGATCCGTTAACAAAATGTTTAACAAAAGAGCTAGTGTATAGTTTATCAAAGGAGATAGGATTAAAGCCTATTACATAAGAGTCATCATAATGGTAATCCTACTTATATGACTAAAGATCCCAAGAACTAAATTCAAAGGGACAACTAAGTTATGTGTGGCTCGCTAGAAATCACCTAGGGATTAAAATTCCCTACCCATTCCTATGGTAAGAGTGATATCTGCAACATGTGTTGTCTGCAGGGGTATAAGGATAAGCTTTGCTTTTAATGATTACTTATATCTTGATTTAGGCATAAAAATCAAGACAAGTATAAAGAGATACTTACAATAAGAATCACCTATATGAGTATTGAATTGGGGCCGGTTCTATGAGAATGAAAGAGGCTAAATTCTCTAGAAACACTCATGAAAACCAGGAGCGTTCAAGGCCAAAATAAACACAACAGTGAAAACCACGATGTGTTAGAAGATATTTTGTGTAAAATCTATTGTCTTGGCTTACATAAACGGCTGAACAATTCAAGGTATCGCGTCCATTGGTTAGCTAGTAAGTCCGATAGGTTATCACTAAGGAAGGTTCAAGGCCGAAAACTACCTATCTTGATGCAAGATATTTTCTATTTATACTCTTTCGACAAAGTCTGCATATTGTTGCATTTCCGTTGTCATCAAATTCCATTCATGTGGGAGATTATTAGAAATGTTTTGAAAAATCTAGGTAAAATCAGAATTTTTTCCTAACTTTGGTCATTTATTTAGGTAGGACCTATACGCCGAAGTTGGCGGGTCTAAGTGGTAACACGTTCTATGTCGCGTTGTGATTCACGTGGTATATTTGGTTACTCAAAATCATTATCGAGTGAATGGGAAATTGAAGCCAAAGTGTGCTCCATAGAAATGGAGTTTTTGTGGAAAATCCTTAAAGGTTTGAATAAGGCTTGTCTCACATTGATTTGGTGAGAAGTTTGAATGAGTTTATAAGGCTTAGGATTGGAACTTGGAGTGTGCCCCAAAGGGTACCCAAGTTTGTAAAAGGGAGAAGTTATGGGCAAAATGGGCTAAAACCATTGGACCCAAAAATCACCACACGTGCGCGCGCCGTCGTCCGTCTGGTCGGGCGGGCTGGGCACGAGTGTGTGGTTGGGTTGGGCTTGCCCAGCCCAATACCTATCTTTTTGGGCAAAAAACATTTGAATTTATTTTTTTAAAATTAAATTCTAATTTTTCCAATTTGATTTTCGGAATTTAAATTCAGAATTGAGTCTGGTTTTCTCCCACCCAAACAGAATTGACTCTGTTTAAATTTCAAATAACCTGGACAGATTCAAATCTGTGCAAATTCGGTTTTATTTGTTTGAATTTGAACTCAAACAGTATCAATTCAAACCAACAGGATTAGTACCTGTTTAAATTCAAAACTAGCAGCCACCAATCTATAAATAGGCAGCTCTCATTTGATGAATTCATTCACAATTTTCGTCCATATTATTCTGCAATTACTCTCTACATATTGCTGCATTATTTTCCTTGTGAGAAAAAGTGTAAACACTTTGTGTGTTCGTTGTTCAAATAAATTGTAGTGCTGCATTTATTTGTTGATAGATCATTTTATCCTAGGAGATAGACGTCAATGTTCTGAAAGCACCGTGGAGAGGACGAATCTGTCTTAAGGACACAGTGTCAAACACTGGACTTGATCAGAATAATATTCAAAATATTAATCAAGTAAGTTATTTATTTATTTTCTATTTTATTATTGTTTATTTAAATCAGATTTTAATTTTATTTTGGTAACAAAATAAAATCTGTTTTTATTTATTTAATTCTATTTCTAGTTTGATTTTTGTAATCAAACATTCATTCTCCTTTCCTATTTTTCTTTTATATTCTATTTGTTGTTAAATACACAACAAAATTAATTAATTTAAATACTGTAAAAATTGTCCAACATATTTGACTAAATCGGGGACTGCTCTTCCCAGCCAAGTTTAGCAGCCAACACAACCCAATTTGAGAGAGAGAGAGAGAGAGAGAGAGAGAGTTGGAAGAAGAGACAAAATCCGGCTCATATGTGGCCTGGTTGGTATTAAACGACAGAAAGCTATTGAACAGCAGAAAGAAAGCAAACACCCCACATAAAAATTTAAAAAACAAAAACAAAAGCACCAAAATTATGCAGTTTCTTTCAACCACAAATGTTTTTGTAGTGTGGTCCAAACATGAAAAGGATAGATAGTTTTGCTAATTTGGTCCCCACCACCAATAATAATACCCAAATAACAAAAGGGTCTACTGGCTTGCTTTGATTTCTTTATGAGTTCACTTCCCCCATTGTCTATCACCTCAAAATAACAAAATACATAATAGATCTCTGAGCTATTAAAGTTGTACACTCTTCCATCGCTTACTGGTCTTGTTTTTTATGAGAAGTTAAAAGTTGATAATCTATACAGAAGTTAAAAATATCTTCTTAAATTCTCAATAATGAGCTTTTTAATATTGAAACTGACAAAAATTACGATGCTTTATAATCTGAAAAAACTGTCAGTCTTTTTGAAGCTCAGCATTGGAATAGTTGGTTGTAATTCGGAATGTTCATTCAAAGGCATAACTGTTGATGCAGAAAATTGCACACTTAGGGATTTACCAGCCAAGTAAATGGGTCAATATAAGGATAATTGTTAAGTAAACCATGTGTCTTTTTTGTGATTTTTTTTTTCTTTCTTTTTTCTTTTTTGTTCCTTAAGACTTTCTCCTATTATATCATTGTAAGGAAGTATGCAGTCTTAGAAAAAATGTTACAAGAGTGGAGAAAAGTTTCAAACTTTTAATGATTAAAAGCAAGAAAGGGCACTTCATGTTCATTGTGAATGTGGCAAACCATATGCTTCAGGCATAAATCCCCTTGCACCTAATAATTGGATGAGCCAAATAAATGATCATTTATTGCAATTTTGGAAGAGAATTGACAAGTTTCAGCCCCCAAAACTAGTTCCTTATAGTGGAAAATAATTTTGGCAATCATGTTGACAGGATGGCGGCACATGTAAATCAGGGTATTCAATTGAATATTCTGAGTCTTTTATATATATATATATATATAGGTAAGATATATGTTAATCAACTGATTCCTCATAATTTGAACAATCCTCTCACAAATCCTAAACACTCAACTCACTGAACTATGTACACCCACTCATAATATCTTTTAATTCTGAATGTAATACCTTGTCAATGATAGATCTCCATATATCTAACATGTTTTTGTTAGAAATAATAGTATCAACATATTAAATTCTATTAAAGTTTTTGAATGACTATTTTAACCCATATTTCTAAAGCTGCGACTGCAAGTTGACATGCCTACAGCACATTTGTATACACAAAACAACCACTAATACTCAATTCCCATATAAAGATCTTTACAATGTCAGTTTATTATGCCTCTGCCCAAGTTTGGAGAAAAAATGTGCAAGAAAAGCAAAGAAAGCACCAAGAAAACACAAAAACCAGGACAAAGATAGCACAGCCCAATCTTGGAGGTTCTTCTTGGGAAGGTGGCTCCTGTCTGAGATGAGCAATGCCCTATAAACTGCTTCGGTGAGAGCGTAAGCTGTAACAGGATCAAATTCATCGGCAAGAAATCCGTACTCTGTAAGGCAAACAATATCATATACTCCAGTAGTCTCTGATACACCCAAGTATTCACAAATTTTCAGGCGGCAATCTATTCTGTCTTCTGTTGGTAACTTGTCACCATGTGTCAAGATCAAGATGGGGTTTTCATCTGCAACCACAATTGCATAGAAAATTAAGATAGATAGACTTGATACCCTTCCTTCCACAAGAATGATTTGCAGCCTGTTTGGTTCAGTTTTCATTTTTGGAGTTTTCAAAAATAAAACTACGAAAAGTTTTTAAGTCGCCTTCATTTTCATTTTTGTGTAAGGTAGTTTTCAAAATTCTGAAAACAACTTCTTTGGTTTTTTTAAAAAGCGGGTTGTTTGTAGAAATTTTTTTTGAAAACTATTTTTGGATACAATTCACCAAACAAGTATGTTTTCTGTAAAATAAAAACACAACTAAAGATGCCTTGAAGCGTCTATAGTAAACCTAGCATTATAATATGTTTGATTAATTCCTCAAATAAACTGACAAGAGAATGAAAACAATCTTACTGCATTTCCTTAATGCTGGTGAGCAGAAGAGTGATTTCGTGGCCTCCAACGGCTTTCTATCGCCCGCTTTCAGGGCTTTATAGATCTCTGAAGCATTAGCCACCACCATCACACAATTGACTCTTCTCCTTGCAAATTTTGAAAATGAATTGAGCAGAGGAGTCTCCCAATCTTCTTCTGTTAAAACATCATTGTCTCCTGGTCTCAAGCAGTGCTGCTTATGATGAACTCCCTCAGTCACCCATTCTGACAATTCTTCAACACACTCAAGCACCCGATCGTAATCAAACCCTCTTGTATCATACACGCAGAACCCGCTTCGCATTGACCTTAACACATTGTGTTCTTCCATTAACAAAGCTGTGTGATTAAGAGCACTTCCTACAAAGAGCAAACTAAAACACATTAAATCTTGGCTTCTTGCAGCAGCCGTGCTACTTGCTCAGAAATAAAATATAGAAACTGTCTTCTGTGAAACTTTTCATGTTTTATTTCTGAGAAAGCTTTTTGCTTCTTGCAGAGTGAGAGTGGCATTGGTCATACCCAACCAGACAAGCCATAAAAGTCTTTCCAAAAACTTGCATACGATCTTTATCCATCAACTTCAGTTAATAATATACATCATATATGCCACTTTCTGATAACATTTTGGATAAATTTTAACTTTAAATCTACCCCTTAAACTCCATTTTCCAGTAAAATTCTGGTTCAATTTTATAGGCAATTATAATTATTGGTAACATATAATATAGTAACAGCCCGTTTGGATCGAAGGATTTGATAAGAAAAGAAAAGAAATAAAATTATAAAAAAAAGAAGAAGATATTTTTATCACTTGTTTGTACATGTTTGTTTGGCAATGGTCACAGTGACAGTGAGTAAAAGATGTTAGTTAAAGTTCGTGTTTTGTTTCTCGGAAAAATAGTGAGATTTGACATTACTCATTCACATACAAAATAAATAAATAAATAAAATTAAAAAGGCATGTGGCTTTATTTAATTTATTGTACATGAAAATAGGATAGTGGAAAATAAGATGGGCATTACCTGAAGAGGTTTGGGCGAAGGGTATGAGACCAGACCGTCCTAAAACACTGTACATAAGGTTGACAAGCGAGCTCTTCCCCGAATTATGAAAACCCACAAGTAAAATGGTGTTAATCGAAGGAATGTCCATCTCTTCCCTCTTAAGCCCACCGTTGGGAACCCAGAAATCCCCACAACGGTACGTGAAAAGCTTGTGTCGAAGCTCGTCGACTCCTTCTGAGGCAACCAATGCCAACCTCTCCAATTCCCTCAGAACTTTGAGTCTGGGAGTTACTTTCGAGAGGTTTGGTAATTCCAGCTTGAATTTTGCACATTCGTCGAACTTTGACGCCGATCTCCACCAACAATGTGAGGACATTGGAGAGGATTCGTAGTAGTCCTCCTCTTCTTCATGGTTACAAGGTAATTGATCTTTCATTTCATGTGTTTCTCTGAATTTGCTTTTAATTTCTGTGGGTTTGGAAATGAGTGCTGAATTGAATTGAGGAAACAGTTCAATTATTGTGTACTATTGAAGATAAATTTAACGGGAAGAAAGGTAGAAGATGAAGACGAAAAGAGGAAGGTTCCGAGCACTTCTACACTCCCTCCGTACTACATGCCTTTTTGGATTGGGTCTCCATATTTACAGAAATGCCTTTGTAGGTGATTTGGTTTCAACAGATAGATAAATGGTTGAATGCGTCATCACATTTTAGTATATTTTATTAGTATGATGAATTTTAACATATAAATAAATAAGTTGATTTTAATAAATTGATAAATATATTGATTTCAATAGATAGTTTGTCTTTTTCAATAAATTGTGTCCTCTTAAAATTAAAAAAATGCATATAATTTTATAATTTTAATATAATTATATTATTATTTTTTTAGAGACTAAAATAAGTTAGAATTAATGGGAAGACACATAGACAAATAATATAAAATATATTTTTTAATATAAAATTAAAAAAAAATTGACAAATGAATAATTGATAAAAATATGACTAAAGTTTGTTTAGAGTATGACTTTTTTTCTTTTTTTTTTTTGTTGCTTATTATGAAAAAATGTATAGGAAAGTAGAGAAGTAATATGATCAAAATAAATCAATAAGCTAATAAATTACTTATTTTTTGTGTATCCAAAACAAGCTTAAGTGTTATGTATAAATTAAAATCTTAAGGGAGTTTAATATAATTATATATGTAACGCCCTCAAAAGTACATACTAAATATAACCCGAAAGCATACATAAATAACAGTAAAATCATAGTATAATATTCTTTTATTTCACAATATTAATAGTACAAAAGAGTTTTAACGTAAATAGATGCCTTTCAAGCTTACACCTTTCCAAGTCTCAGCTTGGTTACAACAAAAGTGAGACTAACTCATACAATTTTAGCCCTAGGCTATACAAAAGTGAAACAAAACAAGAAGCTCTTGCTTTCCAAAAGTCTCTCTAATGCTATTGTCTTGGTAGAGGCAAGCTATCATTACCTGAAAATGTTTTTCCTAAATAGGGTAAGCCACAGCCCAGCAAAAATAATCTAACACAGAATATGAGGTTTAACAAAAGTATAAGTGCAATGTGCATTTACAATGCTAGGGATAAAACTTTCACATTGTATATAGTCATTAAATATCAAGTCCATATTCCATTTCATTATTTTCTTCAATTCATCTCAATACATGAGTCAACTTTATTATTTTTCAATAACCCAAATAAAACTACAACTCAATGGTTCAACAATTTCACAATCAACACATAAACACTTCCAATTGCCATTTTAGGGATATTTCGTCCACAGGATCGGCACCCATGTATAAGTTTCGAGCCAACTTGATTATAATGGAGTTCATCCTCTTTCTCCTCCCCAAAGAATCATACATATGCAATGTATTTAAACACATAATCTCACGCATGGAGTACATCTCATTTCTCCTCCCAAATAACCATACATATACAATGTATTCACACATAATCATATTCAATGACAACCAATGAATGATTAGTTTCAATTCACCTAATCCATATGCAGTTTCTACAACAATCAAAGCTATCCTCCACCGATAGCCCAATACAAATATTTCTAAATAGATATATAATCTCAAGACAGATAATTTAATCAAAATTTCTAAGGGTGTGAGGCATTATATATTCAATCCCATCATTTATTTCAAAACTCACTCAATTCCATGTTTGCAACATCGATTTCAATCATTTATACAAAATAGATATGATAATCATTTTAAGGCAAAATCCCCTCTCTTTCTAAAATACCAATCCAAATACCAAAATCACTGATTTTGACACAACATGACTTCATTTTCAAATCCCATGTTCATTTATTTCGTTTCCACCAAAAACCCCTCTTTTATATTTCACCCAATCCTTAGGTTTGGCTCAAAATACTCCAAAATCCCACCATTGTTATACAACCACAAATAACTAAGTTAAAAATTATAACAAAGTGTAGAAAAACTCCACCTCAAGCAAAGAAGACGAGCAAAGCAAAGGTGAAACTTCAAAGGCGCTCAAATCCAACTTTATTCGATTCAAAATGTAGATCTTGAGATGCTTCAACTTTTTCTCAAACGTACTAGAGTGAAGAGATCAATGGATCTAGACCAAAATATATATATAGAAAGAGAGAGAGACAGTCAAGATTTAGGTTTTTAGAAAGTTTTAGAGAGAGGGAAGGATAGAAAAGTGATATAAAATGTCACTTTTGCAACCTGATATATGCACAGTCCGCTTGAGCGAAAGAGTTAACGCTCGAGTGTCAGACACAAAAATTTGTTCCGCTCGAGCGCGGAATACACACGTTCAGTACTTTTGTTGACAACAAACAAACCGCTCGAGCACAAGAAGGAACGCTCGAGCGCCCACCTACTCGACTGTATTTTGCAGACGTGCAAAGTACTGAGTGTTTGCAAATCCCGCTCGAGCGCAATAAGGCTCGCTCGAGCGGAAGACCAAAATTCTGGATAACACAAGGTTTGAAAATTAAGTAACCAACCTGTTCTAAACACACTTAAAATTCTCAAATAGCCAAATTTAAGGAGGAATAAAGAACAAAAGACAATGAACAACATTCAGAAACTATAAATCCAAATCCGAGGTACACCAAGTAACGGGTCAAAACCGAAATCGCTATAATATAAAACTTAATAGATTCACTATTTTTTTTTTCAATTTTCAAAAAATTTAGTGTAATTTATTTATTTATTTGGAGTTGTTGTGGGCGTGCATGTGATTTCATTTGATGCCCAAGCTTAATAATTTGGGGCCCAACCGACAAATGCAATGCACAAGCTTGGTCTGGTTTTAGGGCCTAGATAAAATGAAACTGGGCTTACGTAAACCAACCCGCACATCAATCGATCTGCTTTGAACACTAGGCCCATCAACCCGAAGCCATAATTTCTGTCCCTTCTTCTCTTCTCTTAATGGATTGGGCCATCGAAGTCCATAATTTCTGTCCCTTCTTCTCTTCTCTTAATGGATTGGGCCATCGAAGTAGGCTCGAGATCGGTCCAGCCGAACTCTGACATCACAACCGCGCACAGGAAGGAAGACAAGACACCAGAGGAGTGTAGAGAGAAGCGAAGAGGTCAACTCAACTCAGAGCGTTTCTTTCAGATCAGTTTGAGTTCTTACAGATACAGTTGGTAGAATCGATGTCTTCAATGGCGGTAGATGCAGATGAAGATGAACGAACACATCTCCTTCATAATAATTCATCACCTCCGGTTCCGTACAGAGCGTCAGACATTGAAAGCGTAGAGATCGTCCCTTCACCATCATCGAACGAGCCAGATGAACCAACACCTAAATCTGTTGACCAGAATCAACGGCTCGCCTCTCTCGACGTCTTCCGAGGCCTCACTGTCGCTGTACGTGTGTGTGTATCTTAAATTTTCTTTACAACTCTTTCTGTTTGGTCACCGAGAATCTCTCTCGACAATTACTGATTGATTTGTTTCTCAAGGAAAAGAAAAGAAAAGGAGTAAACTTTAATATATAGTTTGTTTGTTGACATGACAGTTGATGATTTTAGTAGATGATGCTGGCGGAGCTTTCCCATCGATAAACCACTCTCCGTGGTTTGGAGTGACACTCGCAGACTTTGTGATGCCATTTTTCCTATTTGGCGTTGGTGTTTCCACCGGATTGGTTTTCAAGGTATTTATTAAGGGATTGATTTTCAATTGTAGAGTTAATTTCCTACTTGTCTTTTTCTAATTTTTATAGCTAGGGCTAGGGATTTGAAGTCTTTTGGCAGTAAATCGAATGAACATGATAAGCCAAGCAGAAGCCGAACATATCTATTTACTTGGCCAAGTCACGAAATGTCTTGTTTCATGATGCAGAAAATAACTAGTAAACCGAGCGTTACCAAGAAAGTCATACTGAGAACAATTAAGCTCTTCCTCTTGGGGGTGCTACTGCAAGGTGGGTTGCTTTTTTACTGTACATGTACATGTACATGTTGTGTTTTGTTGACAGAAAAAGGAAAGGCAAATGGTGAAAGGCCAAAAACAAAAAAGCAAAAAAACAAAAAAAATGTTTGAGAAGATGCCTGTATTTTCAAATATGTTCATATTTAACATTTTTTTTTTATATAATTTATTAATAATAGTTGAGATACATGTTCAATTTATATATTAATAATGAGTGTAATGAATTACGATTTTTTTATTTTTTAAAGGTAGTTTGATAATCCAATTTAACATTTAAAAATGAATTTATTGAACAAATATACATTTAACAACTTTGGTAATCAAAATTTATCACTTAAATATTTATGTATCTCTTGATACGTATATGTATCTTTAATAGAGGTAACAATTTTGTGGGTCTCATTTTTCATCATGATAGTGTTTGAACAAACTGTATTTTTAAAAATTTTACAATTAAAAAATAAAGTCGAATAATTGATCATGTATATTTTTTTTGTTATTTTTAAACAATAGAAATTAACATGTTGGGTAGTGCTTACCAGTTTTTAGAAGTCTTTTTAATTTTTTTTTTCAAACAAAGATATAAACGTCACTTCATTCAGGAAATAAATAAATAAATGCATACTAATATGACCTCGCCACTCAAATTCTTTTTTTGTGTTCAAATGATTTTAAAAAAGAAAAAAAAAAAGAAAAAAAAGAAATATTAGATTGCAAAGAATAAAGACAAAGCCAAACAAAGCTCAAAAAAAATATAGATAGATAAATAAACAAAATACAGGATGCATGAAAAAAGTTCTAGCATTTTCTAACCTATGACTGCACTACACATCCTGGACGACAGTGACTTAAAACAAAAATAAATAATTTTTTTTACAGTAGTGGTTGAATATTGAAAAAAAAAAAAAAGGATTAAAACTTGGATAACTAAAATTTAAAAATTACAAATCCTGGATAATTATTATTTTTAAAATAATTAGTCCAATGGATTAAGGAATACATATTTTTAATATATTTTATAAATTTAATTTTATCATTTTTAGTATGAGACTTTTTAACTAAAAAGTATGCACACACACATGACACGACACGGATATACCGACACATTAATTTTCAAAAAATGCAGGACATGACACGTGAAGAGACCCACATGAAATATATAATTTTATATATTTATTATATGTTATATATATGAATATATTATTTAAAGATTATAAAAAATGTAATATTACACTAATTCTTATAAATTTATGTAGTTTTTGTTTATTATTGTATCTTAAGTTGTTTTGTTCAAACTTATAATTAAATTAATTTCACGTGTCTAATTGATAGACATGTGTGTTTACGCGATTTACAAGTGTGCAAAGAGTGTCTGGATCTTTAAAAAAATTTTAAAAAAATAAGACACGTTTTGAAGAGTGTCGGACACGTGTTCAAAGAGTGTCGGTGTCTGACACAGACACGACACGACACGAATACGTCACATTCTTAGAAGTGTCCGTGCTTCTTACCTTCTTAAATACAAAATAACATGTTTTGCTTTATCGATTTATCTTTTTATTGATTTTTAAACCATAGTAAGAGTGATTCTAACTACTTTGATTTGATTGATAATAACAATATGAATAAATAAAATATTACATTGCAAATATAGTAACAAAATTTAAGGAACAAATCTTAATGACATTAATTTAAAGAATAAATTGGAAATTTAAATTGAAAAGAAAAAACTAATTTTTAACCAATCATTGCAAAACATACTGACATGTGGAATTTTTAACAATTTAAAATTCAAAAAATTGAGAAAATTAGATTGAGAGTTTCAATCTCAAAGGCGTAATAACGTTTTTGTTTATATAATAGTATAGATTAGGCAAATGCTAAAGAGTAATGAGTGCCCTGGGATGCATTGTTTAATATTGGGATCGAGATAAAAGGTGTCCTGAAAATATGTGAAATAGTTATAAAGTGTATTGATTTAAGTAAAAAATGTATCATGTTCTTCAATTTTTTTGCCTTCTTGTTCCCTATTATTTGATAGTTGTAAGAAAGTATTAAGGGTCCACATTTATGTTTTCTTGAAAGCAGCATTTTTTGTTTAAATGTAAACCAAATAGTTGTTGGAAGTTCAAAGCTTGTTGGAAACCAAATGATTGTGACTGTGTGAAGAGTAACTCTTCCAAATATGTCATTTTTTTTTTGCTTGTAGTTCACTTCTCTTGGGGGCTACTTTCTTATAGCATACTCCCAGCTGCATAGGATTTGTGTTAAATTTTTTTGGTCTTACCAGTAAGACCATTCTATTAGCTCATGACTGATCTGGAGGAGATCTAGTCAGAGGTGACTGTAGAGTTACCAGCTGTGCTTCATTTTGGGAGAATCTAAAAACACATTTTTTTATCTAAGCAGTTTGAATTTTATCTTTTCTATCTGTAAGACAATAACAAAGATCATATGTTGAATGCTTTAGAATATAATAAAATCTTGGGCAACCAAAAAGGGGAGAGGGCCATAACATTAGACGGCTCTTGCAAATGGCAAATATGTCAGTATAATTAAACATCTAACTAGTTTTCGAAAGTAAGTGGAATTATCCAAATTCACTAACATTTGAGTCGATCACATACTACAATAATTTCTTAAAATTTTGTTTCGATGCACTTTTTAGGTGGGTATTTTCACGGACGTAACCATTTAACTTATGGAGTTGATGTTCGCAAGATACGCTGGCTGGGTGTGCTACAGGTAGTTGTCATAGCTTTGCAAATCTATATGAAATGTTACAGAAATGCAATAATGATGATAAAATTGAAGAACTGTTGAATCAATTCAATATCTTGCTTAAAGATGAATTACAACTTCAATGTATATTTATACAGATTCTAACACATACTCAGCATTGGATAACTAACTAACTAATCATCTAACAGCTCAGCTAACTAATTCAGTTACACGAGAGATACTGAGTTTGTTTGGTTTGTTTTTGGGAGAGTTGTTTTTGAAAAAAATTTGGGAGAGTTGTTCTAGAAATTTTTTTGGTTTGTTTGGTTGTATATTTTGAAAATAGTTTTGGAGTTTGAAAGTTTGGGATGATTTGATATTTTGTTGTAATTGAGTAGATATGTGTGAGAGCAAAAGTGATTGAGAAGGAGAGAGAAGAGAAAAAAAGTGATTGATTGATGTGTAAGAGAGAGAAAGTGATTTTAGAAATTTTATGAGAAAAATCTCAAACCAAACAATTTTTTAGAAATTTTTTTCTAAAACTCATCTCTAAAACTCAAACCAAACATACCCACTATCCTACTATAGCAGTCCATCACACTCTATGATGCACCTTGTCACGGCCTTGGTTGTTTCCAAACTATCCGTGCAGCACTTAGACAATCTCAAAGTTCACTTGGTGATGCTAAGTCAGTCTAACTCACAAACTTAGAAGAAAGACAAGTAAGAAGAACACAAGAGAGTTTGAGAGAGTGCCTTGTAGTCACTATGAGAAAGCTTTACAACTCTTGGATGGTTTGAAGCAAATGAGCTCCTCCCCTATTTATGGGCACTCTTAGCCTCTCATAGAACACTCTAAAAGTCACTAGAAAATACATTACAAGCTACAAGAATATTCTAGAATGCTATAGAAATATTTATACAAGATATTTACAAGTCTAAGTGTGTTGAATACTCAAGGATGTTCTAGAATTCTCCATGTTCTCTCAAGTGTTAGAATGAGCAAGGAGGTTCTAGATCTTTCCATTAACCTCTATGCTCCCATGTAGGGGATTTTTGCCATAGGAAATTTAGCAGCTTGTGACATTCTCCCCCACCTATGCTGGTGATGACCTCGTCTTATCCTTCCTACAGAACTTTTGTATTTGCTCCTGGAACTGCCAAAAAGCTTCTGCTGGTTCCCAGCTAGCCTCACTTTCTGGTAGTCCTTTCCATTTTACTAAGTATTTCGTGCTAGGAGGAACTCCACGCCTTCGGATGTCTCGGTCGGTCACAATGTATTCTACCTCTTTGTCATAAGAGGTTGTTACTGCCGTTGGTGCTCGCAATGACTTCCCTCGGCTTGGGTCTTCCAAGTTAGCATGATAAGGCTTCAAATTACTTACATGGAAGACTGGATGAATCTTAAGCTTTGGAGGTAGTTGCACCTGATAGGAAACTTTCCCAACCTTCTTTGTGATGGGAAAAGGTCCTTCATATTTTCGCACCAATCCTTTATGCATCTTTCTTAGGAACTTGAACTGTTGAGGCAACAACTTGACAAATACCCAGTCCCCCACTTGGAATTCCACCTCTTGTCTCTTTCTGTCAACCCATTTTTTCATTTTCTTAGACGCCCTGTCTAAGTAGGCCCGTGCCACATCGGCTTGCTTTGATGCCACGTGTCACGGCCTTGGTTGTTTCCAAGCTATCCGTGCAGCACTTAGACAATCTCAAGGTTCACTTGATGATACTAAGTCAACCTAATTCACAAACTTAGAAGAAAGACAAGTAAGAAGAACATAAGAGAGTTTGAGAGAATGCCTTGTATTCACTATGAGAAAGTTTTACAACTCTTGGATGGTTTGGAGCAAATGAGCTCCTCCCCTATTTATAGGCACTCTTGGTCTCTCATAGAACACTTTAGAAGCCACTAGAAAATACATGGAGAGGCTTCCCTTAGAAGCCTTTCTTACAAGTTACAAGAATATTCTAGAATGCTATAGAAATATCTATACAAGATATTTACAAGTTTAAGTGTCTTAAATACTTAAGGATGTTTTAGAATTCTCCATGTTCTCTCAAGTGTTGGAATGAGCTAGGAAGTTCTAGATCATTTCATTAACCTCTGTGCTCCCAAGCTCCCATGTAAGGGATTTTTGCCATAGGAAATTTAGCAGCTTGTGACATTCTCCCCCACCCATGCTGGTGATGACCTCGTCTCATCCTTCCTGCGGAACTTTTGTATTTGCTCCTGGAATTGCCAAAAAGCTTCTGCTGGTTCCTAGCTAGCCTCACTTTCTGGTAGTCCTTTCCATTTTACTAAGTATTCCGTGCTAGGAGGAACTCCACGCCTTCGGATGACTCGGTCAGCCACAATGTATTCTACCTCTTTGTCATAAGAGGTTGTTACTGCCGTTGGTGCTCACAATGACTTCCCTCGGCTTGGGTCTTCCAAGTTAGCATGATAAGGCTTCAAATTACTTACATGGAAGACTGGATGAATCTTAAGCTTTGGAGGTAGTTGCACCTGATAGGAAACTTTTCCAACCTTCTTTGTGATGGGAAAAGGTCCTTCATATTGTCGCACCAATCCTTTATGCACCTTTCTTAGGGACTTGAACTGTTGAGGCAACAGCTTGACAAATACCCAGTCCCCCACTTGGAATTCCAACGCTTGTCTCTTTCTGTCAACCCATTTTTTCATTTTCTTAGACGCCCTGTCTAAGTAGGCCCGTGCCACATCGGCTTGCTTTGATGCCACGTGTCACGGCCTTGGTTGTTTCCAAGCTATCCGTGCAGCACTTAGACAATCTCAAGGTTCACTTGATAATGCTAAGTCAGCCTAACTCACAAACTTAGAAGAAAGACAAGTAAGAAGAATACAAGAGAGTTTGAGAGAATGTCTTGTATTCACTATGAGAAAGTTTTGCAAGTCTTGGATGGTTTGGAGCAAATGAACTCCTCCCCTATTTATAGGCACTCTTGGTCTCTCATAGAACACTTTAGAAGCCACTAGAAAATACATGGAGAGGCTTCCCTTGGAAGCCTTTCTTACAAGTTACAAGAATATTCTAGAATGCTATAGAAATATCTATACAAGATATTTACAAGTTTAAGTGTCTTAAATACTCAAGGATGTTTTAGAATTCTCCATGTTCTCTCAAGTGTTGGAATGAGCTAGGAAGTTCTAGATCATTTCATTAACCTCTATGCTCCCAAGCTCCCATGTAGGGGATTTTTGCATAGGAAATTTAGCAGCTTGTGACAACCTGCTCTCTTTAATTCTTCAGCTGAGATGTCTTCCCTATCAAAAATCTTACTTGTTGCCATATTTAAGTTTGACTATATGAATATGTGTTGATCACTTAAAACAAGCATTTTTTCTTTACTTTTTATTTATCATTATCATAGTTGTTATTTATATTTCCCTGTCCAGAAGTTTGATATGTTTCTCTATTTTCATTCCTCAGTTGTGTATTGAACTGAAGGCATCTGACATCTGAGCATATGATTTTGGTTGTCTGTAAAAATGATTTACTTTGTTGACTTCTAAGTACGTATATCCTGTCCTGTTCTTCTGTAGTTGACAACTAGAGTTTAAAAAAAGTATAATTTACTTCTAGTTTGCATATGGATATTGAGTTTTAGTCTTTGTTATGCTGTTGGCAACTGCATTATCATCTGAATTGTTGTAATATACAGAGAATTTCAATCGGATATCTGTTTGCTTCATTTATGGACATCTGGCTTGTTAACAACATTGTGGTTGACTCAGCACTAGCATTTGTGAAAAGATACTACATCCAGTGGTAAATTTTTTTATATAGATTTTTATACTTCCTGTGAATTGCGAGTCATTCATGTGCAGGTGTACAATATCCCCTTTTTATAATTCTGCTGCTTAGATAATCTGGAATGCAGATGGACTAAGACTTCATCTTGGGTGCTGAATTCTAAGAAATTGTTTTTCACAACCCTAATCTCTAGCTTCATACAGTGTACCAACTAGGATGCATAAATTCTTGGTGATGTAAAAAATGGAAGGGGACTTGTTCTATGACAACTTTGGAAAAATGTCACAGGTTAACGGTTTCAAGACTGTCAGAAACCTGAAAAGAAATCCAACAAAAAAATGGTGTCTTTGTGGAACACGTGTGACAATTCTAATGGTTTGATTGGGATGTGGAACTAAAATTCTAGTTTCAATTCTTACAAGAGTGGAATTAAACTGAAATTATGACTCTGTTGCTTGGAATATAGAGAGAAATCTAGATTCATTGATAATAGGTCCCATTTCCAACCCTTTTTGGTTGTGCCTAATCGATTAATATATGTTAATTCTGCCTTCTTTTCATTGTCCAAGCCTCATCCAAATAACTTGAACCCAATTTCTGAGTTTCAGGGGTATTATATTACATTTTGATGTTTATCTAGTCCATGCATGTGACATCAATGGTGAAACCTGTAGTTATAAAGTCCACCTTCTCTGAATGTCCCCTCCCCCAAACGCACACACCAAGCACATACACACTCACACTCCTACCCCTCCCCCACCACCCAAAAAAAAAAAAAAACTATTATCCTGTTTTGGGCTGAGCTTGCTAATCTTTTCTTTTGTCTAGGATGGTTGCTTTCTTGCTAGGATCTCTTTACATGTGCTTGCTCTATGGCCTTTATGTTCCGAACTGGAAATATGAAGTTCCAAGCACAAACTCAAGCTCATCAACATCAAGATATGGATTTGATTCTCAAATTGTAAGTCAGAAAGATTTTAGTTTCCAAGAAACATTTGTTGACAAGATTCTACTTTTGAGTGGCCTTAATTGGGTTTGGGAGTTTGAAGTCTATTGTTTTAAACATTAAGCTGGTAGTCATAGATATCAGTCGATTGCCTTTACAACTTTTCAAACCCAAGGCAATGTCAGGAAACATGGGATATGTTTTTGTCCAACACTAATATTATTTTGCAGATGTTCTGATGTCTGTACAAACATATACGTTATGTTAATTGTATGTGTAAGCACATGGTTGTGTACCATATATTTTTTATGTGCCTTTTCAGACTTGTGGAAAATCTCCCAAAGCTTTCTAGACCTTATAGAGATTACAGAATTGCTTCTCACGCTTTTTTTTTATTATTATTTATTTTTAAACTTTGCACTGTGGTCACTTGATGTTTGCCATAAGTTAAGATTTGATTATTAATTAATCTTCATTAATATTTGATTACTACCATATGTTGCAGAGTCATTCACTTTTATTATTAGTTTCTTACCTGTGTCATTGCACCCGTATGTTTAGATAATTGTTTACTACAGTTGGGCGTTAGCTCTTCAGATTCCAATCCGTGCTAGCTCAGGGTTGATTCTTCTCATTCCCCTCTGATCATCATGTTAGTTGTGCTAGAGCAGATCTGCACCAATCCTCGAGTTTTTCTAAGTCAAACTGTGGATTTGACTGACCTGCTCTCTTCTATGTGAAAGTTTTAGAACTGTCATTCTCATTCTCATTCTCTCACTCTTAATCTGTGCTGTTGTGAC